TGGGAAATTCTTCCCATCCTCTCCTCCCCGCCGCCCCTTCATGTGCCATGGGCCTGCCTCCCTGGTGACTGGGGAAAGAGGAACGGCAAGAGAGGAAGGAAAGCCCAAACTGGTGGTCCCCACGCCTGGGGCTGTCCTACACCCCACCCCCACCCTGCCCCGTCCCCAGCTTCCGCTGCACTTGGCTGCCTGCCCTCCTGCCTCTTGGGGGAACTGAGCTTCAGAGAAGAAAAAAAATGATGAGGGGTGGCAGGGATAAGAAGTAACCCCCATTCTCTACCTGCCCTGCAGCGTGTATGCTATTTCTCCCTGCCCCCGGGCTCCCAAATTTAAAGATGTGGACCAAGGCCTGAGGGCACTGCAGGGGCATGGAGAGCCCTGGGGCCAAACACACACTCCAGGAAGGGGAGTGTTTGGAAATGAAGGACCAGCTCCTATGTATCAAGTTAAGAGCCAGGACAGCAGTTTGCAAACCAGAGGGGAATTCGGCAGCAGCAGAGATTCCTGGGCCCCATCTTCCATTTCTTATGTAAGAAGGGCACTTCACCACCGCCCTGGCAGGTGAGAGGTGACAGAACCACGCTGGTGGTCTTTCACCGAGCCCAGCCTTCCGCTCTCAAGGCTTTCCCGAGACCCAAAGTTTGTGGGAGAAGGGCAGGGGGCTCACGGGCAGAAAGCAGGCGAGCCCTGGGTAGGAACGCTTGGTGCTGTTCCCTTCAGCCTTCAAGACCAAGTGCTCATCTTGTTCCTCAGCTCCTGACTCAGAGGCCTGAGGGTTTGCCAACTGCACTGTGGCTACAGGTGGAGGGAAGCAGACTCCCTCCTCCAGGGCCCTTTGTTTCAGGAAGAAGTTTCTTTAACCCCATATGGTCCAATAGTCGTTTGCAGGAGGCCCTTTAAGGAGGGAGCAAGTCAGTTACCAGCCCTAGTAGGGTTCCTCTCCACCTTCCCAAGATGGGAGAAGCCTAGGGAGGAGGATCAGTCTTAAGCTGCGTTGCATGGCTGGCGCTGGAGTGAAAACAAAACTGGGCATCGAACATTCACTAATTAAAGACTAAAATCCAGGACACACACATGTGAAGGATTAAGAGCCTCACTTCCTTACTCATCTGAAAAAATGGGTGGGGGATGAAATGGCCAAACCTTTCCTCTGACTCATCAAATCAGGAGAGGGCAGGAGAGGGTAGCTCAGGATGAGGAAATGGGGGATGGGTTATTGTAGTGGAAGGGAAAGGAAGGCAGGAATAGTTATAAATCGTCAGCTAATGAGAAATGTAAAGAGCTGACTCTTTAGGACGAAATCATGACCACAGCTGAGGATGCTTCCTTGAGGACTAACTCCTCAGGTGTTAAAACATGCAGCATCACTCTGGGGTGGGGAGGTCAGCAGTGCCAACCCGCGGTGTGCCCTCAGCCAGGGGCTCGGGGGAGGGGAAGTTATACTGGCCACTGGCTCCAACTTGTGGTCAGTGTTGCTGCTTTCCCTGAAGATCTGGCCGAGTACCATTGCCTTTCTCTCCTAGCCCCCCTGGGGAAGAGGGACTATATTTTTACTGTACCCTAGGGGTTCTGGAAGGGAAAACTTGGGGTTAGGATTCTATGGCCTGAGAAGCCCCATCCGTAAGGGCCACAGCTGGGGAGAGGTATGGGGCAGGAGAGGGGTTGGGATTTTAGGGTGCAGCTATGCTCATGAGGTACCAGAGTCAGCATCTCACCCCTAAACTTCTCCAGTCCCGGACGCAGCCTGGGACCTGGCCTTAGACTGTTGAGCAGGTGCGCCTGCCTGTTGGCGCCACCTCTGCACCTGTTGTCTTGAGGTTCGGCACAGCCCCAGGCTCTCCACCTGCTCCTGAACCCCAGCATCTCCCTGTGACGGGTAAACTTCGTGTGCTGTGTCTCGGGTCCAGGATATGAATTGTGAGCAGGGTTCATCTATTTTAAACACAGATGTTTACAAAATAAAGAATATTTCAAGTCACAGGTGTGACTGCCTGTGTGAATCCCCGGGAGTAGATCTCACTGGGACCCTGGCAGTTCAGGGGGAGGGAGAGAGGCAGTGCTGGTAGAAGAGGTTCCAGAATCCTAAAGCAACAGCAGAAGAATGAATGGAAACAGCAAACGTCTTCCGTTTGGTGCCTTTCCTAATGCCACCTGCAGGGGAGCCCCAAGCAGAGCCCCCATTGCTCGGCAGTGGGCTCCCATTGCGGAAATAAGATTGAGTAGAGTCATTGGGGACATGCTGAATATCTATGTCTGAGGGTGTCTTTAAAACCAAGAGGTGGGGGGCTTCCCTGGTGGCGCAGTGGTTGAGAATCTGCCTGCCAATGCAGGGGACACGGGTTCGAGCCCTGGTCTGGGAAGATCCCACATGCCGTGGAGCAACTAAGCCCGTAAGCCACAACTACTGAGCCTGCGCGTCTGGAGCCTGTGCTCCGCAAAAAGAGAGGCCGTGATAGTGAGAGGCCCGCGCGCCGCGATGAAGAGTGGCCCCCGCTTGCCACAACTAGAGAAAGCCCTTGCACAGAAACGAAGACCCAACACAGCCAAAAATAAATAAATTAAAAAAAAAAAAACCCAAGAGGGTGCTCATCTGCTTGGAATGTAACAGAAACAGGTCTTCCTGAAGGCGTGAGGTGGGATTAAGTAATCTTTCAGAAGTTCATCCTAGCCCTGTGCTTGGATACCCCAAGGGAACAAGGCAGTCTAGAATCTTGGGGTCTGGGGACTGATGAATACTATACTCTGGGGTCCAGAGTTGATGGAAGAGGCAGAGAATGTTTGGAGGTAAAGATAAAATGAAGGAAGGAGTAAAACAAGGCAGGGCAACAGTAGCCTAAGATCTTAACCTGCATTTTCCAATTTACAGAGAACTTGTAATGCTTTATCTCCTTTATCGGAACAATCAGACAATCACGTCTGTGCGAGATAAGGAAGGTGATTATCTTTATCCAAGTTCGACAGATAAGGAAACAGGTGCCTAGGGGCCCCAAGGAAGAGTGGCAGAGTCAAGGCTTAAAAGGAACAACCGAAATTGAAATCTCCAGAGGGGAAAGCTTGGCACCTCTATTTAGAAAAATCGCTACATGCAGTTCTCACTTGCAGCCAGAATTGAGAACCATCGACCTAGGCTTTCTGCCTACTAAGCCAGTGAAGTTTCCAGAACATCTACTGTCCCTGTGGAAAGCCATGTTAGTGCATGTCCAGAGTTACAAGCTTCTGGAAAGTAGGCCAGTTTGAGGTAAATCTGGAAACAAAGAAGTATTTTAGGAGAGCTTCATCAATTGTATTCAATCGTGAAAGGTGAGAACCTGGGCAACTCAAGGTGTCCTAGGTTGCCCCTGGAGAAAAGGGGTGTCGTGTACCTAAGGAAGACAGCACCTCCACTCCTCAGTTCAGCAACTTCCATGGTCTTCCTGGAGAGGGGTCCCAGAAGGGCAGCCAGTAAGAGGCATCTGGAAGCCCAGAGAGTACTAGGGAAGTGCTAGGCATGCAGGTGAATCTGGCAAGTTCATGTTTAGCCCATTATCAGGGCAAAGTTCTTGACTCAGTGGCTTAGGAGGCGTTTATTTGCTTTTTCTAGCAACTCCACCCAGCCTCAGCAGGGGACACACTTCCCTCTGCATTTCCTGCCACCTCTTCTAGTGGCAAAAGATTCCATTCCCACTTAGGTAATGGAGGCTTTTGTGTAGGGAGCAGCCAGTTAAGATGTATGGATCCCCGTGTCGCTATAAACAGCCATGAACAGGCTACAGAACAGAACACCTGGGTACTTCCTGGAAGGCACTTCCTCCATCTTCTCAACAAATCAGATTCTCAAGACCAGCTGCTCCCCAACCTGGCTTATTCTTTGTTCTAGGAGACAGTTCCCAATGGACACATACCTGTGAAAACACTCTCTAGTAAACAACTGCATTGTTATTGAAATTTCGCTCTAAAATCCCAAAGCCAGGTAAAGCCTAATTGCCAGCTTTAATGATGGAGAAATCCAGGCATTAAAAACAAAAAACAAAATAACAAACCCTGATTTCTTGCATTGGTGGGTGTTTGGAAGAACGAAGTGAAGCATTAGGTCTTTTTAGTTTCTGTGGGCTTCCAGTGCTGTGCTCCCATGATAGCTCTTAGCAGGTCCCCCGATGTCCTGCAACACGTTGCATGCTGGTGTTGAAAACATCGTGAGTGGCCTAGCTGGGTCTAGAACCATAGCAGCTTCAACTGCCTGCACACTTCCTTCCGTGGGGAATGACCAGCACAAGCCCCTCTGAGAAGTCTTTGGGACTGTCTTTGTCTGATAAGAGGTAGGGGCATCCATCCCCTCTGAGTTTACCCACCTGCTCTGTGACTCCTCTCTGTTATCCCAGCCACAACCAACTGCATCCTCATGACCCTGTGGAGGTGGGGTGTGGGGTATTAGAGGAGATGGTACAGCGCAGGGGGCAAGGGCAGATGTGCTCTCCAGGACAAGTACCATCACTCACTGAGAGACTTTTCAAGACAAACACAGCTTCCCCTCTTCAGACTGGTGCAAGCTGAGGCACTGAAAGCCATTATTTTAGAAAACCACACACCGTCCTCCTAATGGTCCCTTTGATTTTGTGCTTGTGGAAAGTAACAGCCAAAGAGAGAAATGTGAACAGTAACATGTATATTCCATTTGTAGTCTGAGTCAAGGGGACATGCGCCCAATCCTCTTCCTCATCCTTCAGCCCTCGGCAGACCCTGACCTCTCAATTGCACAATTCAGAGCTCGGCACTCAGCAGGCGCTCAATAACTGTCTGTGCCAAGTGAAAACAATATGCTGGGGCAAGTAGGAGTCAATCTTGCATCCGTCCCTGCCTTTTTTCCTCCCCGTCCAACCTTTGGGGCTCTGGTTTCCTGCAAGCAGTGAATTATTCATGTCTGCTCAGAGATATCACATTGGCCCTTCCTAGGTTGCCAACAGGGTGGAGCAGGGAGGTGGCTTTGTTCAGAGTCTGTAAATAGGAGGAGCCACCTTCCTGTTTGAACAGCACTTACGGGTAGGTGACTTTTTGCTAAGTCATCCTGGGGATGCTCAAAGTCCCTTTGTGAGGTCCTTCCTGGCTCCTCCTTCCTCCCACCCCTTTAATAGACCCTTAAGTGGGGCCACACTGCTCTGCCACCCACTCTGCACTCGCACCATGGCTTACGTTGCCAAGTCCTTCTACGACCTCAGTGCTATCAGCCTAGACGGGGAGAAGGTAGATTTCAATACATTCCGAGGCAGGGCAGTGCTGATTGAGAACGTGGCCTCGCTCTGAGGCACAACCACCCGGGACTTCACCCAACTCAACGAGCTGCAATGCCGCTTTCCCAGGCGCCTGGTGGTTCTTGGCTTCCCTTGCAACCAATTTGGACATCAGGTGAGACGTCCCTGGTATTGTACCCAAGGAGTTGGGTTGCTGCAGCTCCAGTGGGCTAAAGAGAGGGGGAGGACGACTATGTGTGTTGAGTGTCTTGAATCATGGGGTATGTTTTGTTAATCTAGGTCTTTAGGTGCATGCGAGTACCAGGGGGAAGTCAGTATGATTCTGTCTGTGATAGAACACCAAACGTATGGATTTTTATGGTTTCTTGTCTTCCCACTACACTCCATGAGGGCTGGTACCAGGTCTGTTTTTCTCTCCATTGTGTCCTCCGTGCCTGGGTATAGAAGGCACTCATTAAATGTTTGTTGAATGAACGACTGGAGGAAATAGAAGATCAAGAATCAAACTAGGATTGAACTGACTCAGGAGACCTTCATTTTCACTACATTTGATTCTGCTACCTAATAGCTCTGTGCCCCAGGAAGAGTCACTCAATTTTTCTGTTTTGGTTTCCTCTTCTATAAACTAGGGATAATACCACTTATCTGATAGGATTATTGTGAGGTTGTGGGGATAAGAGCTACAAAAGTAACTTGAAAAGTATAGAGTAATATGCAAATGTAAGCAGCTTTACTATTTAGATTGAAAGGTTTTGTTTGTTTGTTTAAAATCAGCCAAGTGGAGAGTGAATTTGGGGGAAGGTAAAAGGGTTTGCAAAGTGTACGTGTCTCCTCTGGGCATCACACGTGCCTCTCTGTCCCTGATTAATGGGTCAAGTTGTTATAGATCTTCAGCCCGCACACCTCAAGTTATCTTTTAGGGATTCTTATATTTTCAGTTAGGATTTTTTTTTTTTTTAATTTTTTGTGGTACGCTGGCTTCTCACTGTTGTGGCCTCTTCCGCTACGGAGCACAGGCTCCGGACGCGCAGGCTCAGCATCCAAGGCTCACGGGCCCAGCCGCTCCGCGGCATGTGGGATCCTCCTGGACCGGGGCACGAACCCGTGTCCCCTGCATCGGCAGGCGGACTCTCAACCACTGCGCCACCAGGGAAGCCCTCACTTAGGGTTTAAATAGCACAAGCAGGCAGAATGTCCTCCAATTATAATCCCTTGGGTTCAATTCACAGTGGCATGAAGGCAAGGAAGAGATTATCAGAGATATAGGCAGGAAGGCTGAAATGTCATTGGCTGTGACAAACCTAGCCCAAACCATGAGTGCTCTCACTGTTCCTTCCTTGCCTCAGTTCTGTTTCTAGGCTTGGCCAGGGAAAGAGAGACAGAAAAGGTAAAACCTCTTCAGAGGGGTCTCTCTGGCCCTACAGATGCCTCCTTCCATCACTTCAGGCCAGCCAGTTGCTGGAGGGAATGCATAACCTACCAGGAGCCAGCAGGCCTTTTGCATTAGGAGATAAGATGTCTAATAGCCATCAACTCTGGGCTCAAGATGTCATGATGGCCTGGAACTGACTGTACTAATTGGTTCTAGTAGGTCAGAGGCAGGAACTTCTTCCCCTGAGGGAGATATATGACTCTTAGACTTGGCGGATGGGGGTGGAAAATAAGGGTTTCCATGGGTCTTTGTGGGCTGTCAGGGGTGGGGAATGCTAAGTGGCGATAGGACAGTGCTGGCAGCGGGGAGGAAAGACAGGCAACAGGTTGAGATCTAAAGCATCCTAGCTGAGTACAGCAAGTGAGCGTGAGGTGCAGGAAGCTAAGTGAAAGGAACGATAATTACACATTCACAACTTTTGGTCCTTAAGCACTTATTTCCTTAACTTCCCCTTCCCCTGGCCTATTCCAGAACACTAAACCTTCAATCCTATTTAATTCATGCCTGTTGGTCATGAAGTAATTACGTTTACAGTACGTTCATTGTTGTCTCTAACCTACTTTGCCTCTATGGCACCTGAAAACTAGTCTTCCTTGGATGGGGTTTTCCTTCATCAAAGCTTCCTCCTACTTGTACTTTAGATCTAGGACAAGATGAAAGGAAGAAGCTATAAATCCCATTCTTCTAGACCTCAATTTCACCTTTCGTTTGAGGAGCTGAGTAGGGCAGAGGCCAAGGCTAGATTCAACACTCAGAGGTAATTAGAAGAAAGACAGGCAAGGCCAGGGCAAAAGGAAAGGGAAGGTGGTGGCAGGGTGTGTGTGTGGGTGTGCATGTATGTGTGGGTGCATAAGTGGAAGGAGGGTTCTAGGCAATATGACCTGAGCCTCCTTTCCCTTTCTTTCTACTGCCCAGAACTCAAGGTTCCTTGAAGCTTCAGACAGATACCCTAAGCATTGCTCAGGGTAGATCGGAGAGAGAAGTGACAGCTCAAAAGCTCTATATGTTTCAGTACAAGAACAGCCAAGCTAGGGTCTGTGAGAACTTTCAGAAATGGCCTAGCAAACCATCAGACAATAGCTGTGAGAGGGAAAACTCCGAGTCAAGAGTAGGGCAAAGCGAATGAAGAAGGAAAGAGAAGGAACGGGGTAGGGGGGTGGGGGTGGGGAATACATAATAGAAAGAATGATCCTGGGGAGTACAGGAGGGTGACTTTGTAGATCCTTCGTAGCTCCTTCTTCTCTTGCGTTTCCCAAGCCCTTTGTCTCTTTTCTCCTCCAGGAGAACTGTCAGAATGAGGAGATCCTGAACAGCCTCAAGTACGTCCGCCCTGGGGGTGGATTCCAGCCCACCTTTACCCTTATCCAAAAGTGTGATGTGAATGGTCAGAATGAGCATCCTGTCTTCACCTACCTGAAGGATAAGCTCCCCTACCCTTATGACGACCCGTTTTCCCTCATGACCGATCCCAAGTTCATCATTTGGAGCCCTGTGCACCGCTCAGATGTGTCTTGGAACTTTGAGAAGTTCCTCGTCGGGCCAGAGGGGGAGCCCTTCCGACGCTACAGCCGCACCTTCCCGACCATCAACATCGAGCCTGACATCAAGCGCCTCCTCAAAGTTGCCATATAAACACCAGCAGATCTCCTACTTCCTCCTGCTCCTGAGTGTCTTTCCTGAGCATTCAGTGTGCCCTCAGGAGACTCTGCTGGGCCCGGGCTTTCCCTTCAGATCAGTCCCCTTCATTGAAGAGCCTTGCCTTTCTGGTCTGCCTGTTTCCTTTCCTTCCCCCCAAACTTCTGGTTGGTGATTCAACCTGGGGCTCCAAGACGGGTGGGCTCTGAGCCTTCACAGAATGATGGCACCTTCCTAAATCTGTCTGGGAGGTGTCTGAGAAGTGTGAGGGTCCAGAGCCAGCCTTCTGGCTGAGTCCAATAAAGGGCAGGTGTGGAAACGGCGAGGCTCTCTGTGTCTCTTCCTCGACGGAGGTGGGAGGGACGGTATAAAACTGCAGGTGGGACAGCGGGGCTGGCAGCACACAAAGGCTGAGGAGAGGGAGGCTCCGATCAAGGGGACACTCCAATTACTGTCTGGAAAGCAGGCTCAGGTCACGGTCTGGGTGGCAGGCGGAGTTTCGGGAAGTGTGAATTGTATTATTACTTTATGGCTCTTCTTCAGAACTGGGGAAAGGAGGTGATAAGGAGAAGAAAGGGGAAGAAAAGTGGAGGAAGCACGGGGAAGTTAGAAGATCCCAATCAGGAACATGTCACTTTCACGGTGGGTACTGGGCTAAATGTTACCTGCACCTTGAGAAGTTGAACTTAGTCCACTTTAATGACAGCAAGGGCGTGGAGGGTACAGTTGCTGGGAACACAAAGAGCACTTTACCCATTTCCTGATCACCTTGTGGAGTAACGTTTGCTTTAGATCCTTTGTTAGATTGACTCTCCCTCCTTTTTAAAGTTCACATTCCACCCTTGTCTTTCTCACACTCACAAATTCACAAATGCAGGAACAAGACAGACAAGTTTAGGCATGAATGACTGGTTTCACTTTTTTTTTTTTTTTTCGGTACGTGGGCCTCTCACTGTTGTGGCCTCTTCCATTGCGGAGCACAGGCTCCGGACGCGCAGGCTCAGCGGCCATGGCTCACGGGCCCAGCCGCCGCTCCGCAGCATGTGGGATCTTCCCGGACCGGGGCACGAACCCTTGTCCCCTGCATCGGCAGGCGGACTCCCAACCACTGCGCCACCAGGGAAGCCCCGGTTTCACTTCTTCTTCCATGAGGGTGGGGATGTGAGAGGGCCTCCCTTCAGACAGTCATACTGTTTATAACCCGCCAACACGATAGCTGTTCTGTGAGAACAGAGTTCTGCCGAATGGCTCTGAAGGACAGTGCCCCAGATTCCTCACCTAGTACAGGCATACTCAAAAGCACCACCAAGACAAGGTCCTATCATGCTCTAGAAAAGACACCAGCTGACAGGCCACTGCCCTCTCATTTTGTCCCACAAACCTCTTCTTGGAAACTTCTCATTTTGCCCTTCTTTCTTTGATCACTAGATGGAATATTTTACTTCTCTTCACTGAAGCCCTGAAGGGACAGTTCTCCAAACTGGACACACAGCTTGAGAACCCCAATGCTGAGGGGAAAATGCTGAGGGATGTTCCCCGTAACTATTTCCCAAGCACTTGCATCATTTGAGAAGTAAATGTGGAATAGAGGTTAAGGGTCCCTACCGTCTGACCTTCTACTAAAGCTATGTCATCAATGGTGCCTTATTTCAAAACGGTAACCTGAGTGGTATAGTGGGAATCCCCTGGCATCCTTCTGCAGACTTTCTGCTAAATTAAGGCCATCCTTAATTTGACTCTTGAGAACTCAAGCCCTTCAAGATTCCTACTGTCAGAGCCAAGAGCTGGGGTATGGGTTTGTGGGCAGGACCAAGCATTGATTTTAGAGCAGTAACTGCAGAGACAAACTGCTTCCCTGAAGAAATAAAATCAGAATTCATGTGGGATGCTAGCATGATTTGTTCATCATCTTTACAGTGCTATTGCCTGTTACGATGTCTAACAGCAGCGTCAGCTATCCTGGATGCTGGTATTATGGCACAGGCAACTTAGGGCCTGATATGCCAGAACAATGTGTTGGGTCTTCCCCAGGAGGCTCAAGTTGAGAGAATTATTTAGAGACTCCCAAAGGAATGGGAATTACAGTATAAGTGATTCTGTAGAGAGAGTCAGAAAGGGCCTTAATGCTAGGAAGAGGGCCCCTCACTTGGTCAGGGAAATGCTGTTTGCTTCAGAAATGAGAAATTGTTTCCTTTTCTTTATTCCTCTTCTTGTTGGTCCCCTTTACATCCTCAGAAGTATCAGCTTATGGTCATAAACAGACACGGCAAAGCTTAATATAATCACCCACTTTCCTAGATAAACATAATCTTTTAATCAAATTTCCCTAGGGGCATTCAGGAAGTAAGGAGAAGTCCCATAAACAAGCTGTCCCAGAAGTGCTGAGATAATGCTACTCGATTTAGAGGAGGGACAGAGGGAATCTTTCCTCTGAGGGCTCTTACAAAAAATATGGCTTGGAATAAGTGATTTAGGGGCCGAGATACATAGACTGAAACTGATGATCATTTCCATGACTATGTTCCCACCGTTGCATCTCCTTAGTTTAAGGAACACTGAGCCCAACCCTTATTGGTGATTTCTTATAATCACCATCACAACCATCATCCAAATTACCATACACTATACTCCCACACTGCACTAAGTACTTTCTATATGCTAGGTTATTTAATCCTCATACTGACCCTGAGGAATTTTCATCTCTATTTAAAGAGAAGGTAACTGAGCAAGACACTTTTCAAGGACAAAGGGCTAGTGAGGGGCAGAGTTGAAAGTTAAACCCAGGTCAGTCTGACTCCAAAGCTTCTACTATTAACCACAACACAATAGTGCTTCCTTCTGTCTCAGAGTTTCTGCATTAAGACTGCTGAGCTGCCTGTCCACAGCAATGTATGACCTAATGACACTTTCACTTACATTATATCATTTGATTTTAAAACTCCGTAAAGGAGGCATGATTATGTCTATTTTTCCACTGAAGAAACCAAGGTACTGACAGAATGACTTGCCCAATGTCCCACCATGAGCAGGTGGCAAAGCTAATTTCAGACCCAGGTCTCTTGATTTCCTTTCTACCCAACCATAGCATATCTCAAATAGAGACTTGTACTACAGTCAAGAAACATACATTTTAAAACTAAGAGCCTCAAATTCAGTCAAGTAAGTTAGCTTTTCTCAGGAAACAGAAGAATGAAACCGAAAGGATTCTTGTTACACTGAAATAAAGAACAGTGAATGTATACTTATTACTGATGACTTACAAGTAACAAACCATATCTGGCTCTTCCTAGACTATATCATATGTCAATTAATTACTACTGGGAGAACCCAAGATCATTTGAGGAAGACAGAGCTAGCTAAAACAACACAACAGCAAAGAGGCTGAGCTTTGAACTCCAAGAGCCTAACCAGGTCGACCCCAGACCTGTACATCATGGAGCAGGTAGAGAAAGAATGAGGTGCTAGGACAAGTTCACGTTCCCCACTACACCTACAGGTGATTTCTTCTTCTTCTTGTATCTCAGAAAGGGAAGCAAAGAAGACCAATGCCTTTGCCTGGTTCCCCTTTACTTAAACAGAGAAATATAGATGCAGTAGAACTGAGTTCAAGAGGTCTTTATTCTATTAGATCCATAAAACAATTCTAGAAGATGATAAAGTATCGCAAAACACAGTACAATGCTGGTTTAATAATAATGAAATATATGGATAGGATCTTATGTTAAAAATTTTTGTAATATATTGTCTAAACCAGATAATTACACATTCTGCAAGAGATGAGGATATCAGGAGGGGCATATAAAATCATACTCTTGAGCTCCAAATGACTAAGTTGGAAGCATTAGCAAACTCCATGAAGGGGCAATTCAGAAGCTATAATGGGCTTAGTGCTGCTATTTAAGGTAACGAAACATTTTCTCTGCTTTCTGGATTCATTTCACCAAACGATTTCCTCAGCAGGTCAGATATAGATTTGCAGAAAGTGGAAAGCATTTTCCAGGAATAAAACAACTGATCCTTAAGGAACAGCTGCCTTAACTTTTCTGAATAATAAATCTTGGTCTGACATGCCTAGATTCCTCAGAGTACAGTCATTGATATCCTCAACCTCTTCCTAACCTTGCTAGACTCTGATACTTCACGTGTACTGAACACTATTACTGAGGGCATCACTGTACTAACTATGTAACCTGGACTAAGTTACTTCTTTGTGCCTCAGTTTCTCTGGCTCTAAAACTGGGATAGCAATAGTACCTACCCTCATGGAATTGTTCATGAGGATTAAACAACTGCTTAAAAAGGCCTTGGCACATAGTAAGTACTCAATAAACCTCAGCTGTTATCATTATTCCTGTTACAAAACAAAGTTTTTCCCTGATGTCAACAACTTTGCTCACTCAGTTCAGAATGTCTGAGATATGAATAGGAAAAAATTCTGTTTTAATGCCTGACCCTTAAGTTTTGATTTCATAATGAGAAGAACTGAAACCATCTCATTCTGTCTAGAACTTTATATGCCCTCCAAAGCATTTTATATTCATTATTCATTTGGATCTTCTAACAATACTGTGAAGGAAGTATAACATCAATTTATACTAGTCCAATTTTATAGAAAGGGGACAATAAAGTCCAGAATGACACTTTACTTAATGGTTATACTGCTACCAAATGGCAGAGGCCTAAATGCCAGGTTTTATGACACCCAAGCCAGAATTCTTTCAACTATGCAAGGTAAGATATTCTAAGATCCCTTTGGAGTAATTGAAACCATTCTATTTATATTAAATAAAGTCCACACTTTATTCAGATTTCCCTAGTTTCACCAAATGTTCTTTTTCTGGTGCAGGATCTCATCCGGGATACCACATTACACTTAATAGTCATGCCCTTTTTTCGCTGTGAGAGTTCCTCAGACTTCCTTGTCTTTGATGACCTTGACAGTTTTGAGGAGTACTGGTCAGGTATTTTCCTCAATTGGGATTCCTCTCTCAAATGGGATTTGTCTGAAGTTTTTCTCATGATTAGACTGGGGTTACGGGTTTTGGGGAGGAAGACCACAAAGGCAAAGTGTCATTCTCATCACATCATATCAAGAGTAATGCTATCAACGTGGCTCATCATCAATGATGATAATCTTGATCACCAGGCTAGTGTTTGTCAGGCTTCTCAGTGAAGTAAAAGTTAAAGTCACTTTTCCCCCTTTCCATACTATACTCTTTGGAAGGAAGTCACTATGCAAACCCATACTTAAGGAGTGAGGAGTATCTACATACATTACTTGAAATTTTTCTGCGTGGGGGATTTGTCTATTCTCTCCAATATA